CATTGTTCTGCAGAAGGAGGAAATAATGTTCCCAAATCTGGATTGCCACAAATTTTAAGAGCATGCTCGCTGTTCAATCATACAAGTCAGCATTATTTAAAAAAATAAATTATAGGGACTGAGGCCAGGAGACATTGCTCATTTGAAGGAATCAATTTGAAAAGCTATCAAAAAGAAGAACCACCTTATCTGCAGTACAGGAGCAGTCTGTTCAGCCACCTCTCTGCATCTGAAAAGTACCACCTACTACCATGTCAGCAGAACCTGGATTTTCCTCTCCCATGTTAGGACTTGCCACATTTCAGATTGCTTAGCTTTGGACACCTGACAAGTTCACACAGCACCCCAAAAATCCTAAGTCTGTAGGTCACACCAAGTATCCATTCTGTGGGGAGCTACTATGAACACCATTAGCAGGTAAAACCAAAGATTAAAATAGGAATTGTTTTTTTTTTCATTTGTCACTTCCTTCTCTCTGTCCAAGTAACAACATGGACTGGTGTTAAAGAAACTGCATCCTTCATGGTGATCCTGGGCACTCCTTGGTGCTAAGAATGGAAAATGGCAATGGGCTACACAGAGAGTTCATTTCCCTGACTGGGGGCTCCAGCTCTCTTGCCACAGCCCAGCAAGAAAACCCTACTAATGCAAGAAAACTGATGTGTGGGAGCTTAGATGTAAAATACTATGTGAAGATTCCAATGTTTTATCCTTCACTAGTATTTTATAACTGGACATTTTATATCAAAGCTGTAAAGCCCATTCCTCTCAAGAACACTCTGCCTGTGTCTTCCCTCTGTATCTACCTTGTTGATTTCTTAGACCTCTCCTCTCTGCAAACATACACACAGAAAAATCAGACTTTCTTTCTCATAAATCAGACTACCATCAAAAAATCAGACTATTTTTTTTCACAGAATAAAAAAGAATAGACTATCTCAACTGGATTATCGACAATGATTATCTGCTCCAACTGCCTGACCAACTCAGGGCTGACCAAGTTAAAGCCTATTAAGGGCATTGTCCACATGTTTCAAACACTGAAAGGCTTCAGGCATTGACCACCTCTTTAGGAAGCCCATTTCAGTGTTTGGCCACTCTCTCAGCGAAGAAATTCTTCCTGGTGCAGCTCTGAACCATTTCCGTGCATTCTGTCACTAGACACCAGGAGGAGAGACCAGCACCCCCCTCTCTGCATCCCCTCCTTGGGAAGCTGTAAAGAGCAATACAATCATAGAATGATTTAGGTTGGAATGATCTTTAAGATTGAGTCCAACTCTTAACCCAGTGCTGCCAAGTCCACCACTAAACTATGTCCTTAAGTGCTTCATCTACACATCTTTCAAATACCTCCAGGATTGGCAGCCTATTCCAACGTCTTATAGGTGAAAAAATTTTCCTAATATCCAATCTAAACCTCCCTTAGTGCAACTTAAGGCCATTTCCTCTTTTCCCATGGCTTTTACTTGGGAGAGGACACCAACCCCCACCTCACTACAACCTCTGTACAGGTAGCTGATAAAGTTCTACCTGAGCCTCCCTTTCTCCAGGCTAAGCACCTCCAAGGCTCCCTCAGCCACTTCATATCAGACTTGTGCTCCAGACCTTTCCCCAGCTGGGTTGAATTCCTCAGAATGAGGTATGTGGTTATTGTGACCCAAGTGCAGGACTCAGCACTTCATCTTACTGATCCCCATACAATTGATGCAGCCAGTCCAGATCTCTTTGTAGACCCTTCCTGCCCTCGAGCAGATCTACATTCCTGCCCTACTTGGTGTTGTCAGTAAACTGACTGAGAGTGCACTCAACCCCCTCCTCCTGATCATCAGTAATTACATTAAACAGGACTGGCCCCCGTACTGAGCCCTGGGGAACACCACTCATCACTGGCCTCCAATTGGACTTAAATTCATTCTGCACCACTCCTTGGTCCCAGCTATCCAGCCAGATGTTTTACCCAGTGAAGAGTAATTAGGACTTTAGTACTTCACAGATTTCCTTCCACCAGTCCAGCTTGCTTCCTATCTCCCCAATTTCCCTCTCTCCAGATTCCCCACATGCCTTTCTCATCCTCTTAGTTCCTTTTGTCTTCCCTTACATGATCCAACAGAAGCGGCCATTCTCACAAGTGATGCTTTAAATAAAGACCATTACATAAAGAGTTACTAAACTCCTACAGGAGGTCAGTTAGGTAATATGGTGTATATCTCCTTTCCCTCAGGTGCACATCACTGTGGTAGCCAAAGAGTGATCACTTTGGAGCGTTGCATAAGGTGTCATTGGTACAAGGGACAGGTGACAGTATCTGGTACAAGAAGCAACATCACGCAGTTCCAAGCCAATTTTCTCTTTAGAATTCCACTGCTCCTTTGCAACCAGTTTTCAGCTTTTACTAGTCCTGACATTTTTCCACAGGGTCTTGCCTTCAGAAAATCAAAGCCAAGTGCTGAACCAGGCCTTCCAGGCTAAGACAGATTTCGTTGCAGCAAACCACATGACTGGCAACCTCTCTAATGAGAAGCATCCTTACCCCCTCCCCTATACACAGGAGGGAAGGTGGGTCATCATTCTTTGGCCAAATGAAATCAAGAGAAATGTAGAGTAAGGGTCCTTTCAGTTACTTGAAGCTCCTTTTGAACTCCTTTTTTTTTTAAGTTTTCTTCAATTTTTAGAGTATTTTTAACAGTCAGTATGATTTAACCTCATGAGACAAGTTTAACCTCCAACATTACTGTTATGAAGGGGATGAATTTCAGGATACAAGTCCTAAGTAAAAGCAAGTCATGGGTTAAAGGGGATGAGATTCCAAAGGCTCACCTCCTGAACACTAAATAGCTCTGCACCTGTTGATAATTCCTGACCTTCCCAAAACCCAACATATCGGCCCTTCCTCATGGTTATGATCCACATATAATCAGGAAGGAAAATAATAATTAGTGAGTCTCCAAATGCCTTGAACAGTGTAGTTTCTAATCTCTGTTTGCAGAGCCAAATAGAGACAGCAAACTGTCTTCCAGCAGGGTTTATAAGCTGCTAAATCTTGTAGTACTTGAGGGACTGTAATCCCCAAGCAGCACAAGCTGGCCTAGGAGACAGTCTTATGTGGTTTGCATCTTAAAGTCACATACAGCATTTACAACCAGGCTGTCTTCAAAAAGCATTCCACTGGTTTTGTTCTAAGTAGGCGAGATTCTGATTCCAATTGCTTCACAGATTGGAGAGAGCTGGGACACCACACACCTTGCAAGCTTTCAGCTAGCATTACACACAGCGCTGGACAGCAGGACCACCATATCCATCCTACTGAATAGCAGCACCCCATGCTGTAGGATGAAAGGAAAAAACCCCACAGTGGTTATTTGCATTATTTATTTCAGCCCAATGCTAAACAGGACCTGTCCCCCTATCTTTTTAATTGCTTACAAATGAGTGAAGAACCACAAAATTGCAGATTTCTAGATTGTTTAACCCCATATAAACTAGAAGAAAATCGCACACGTGCAAAATGTTCGCTCCCACCTTGCTACAACAGCAAAGAATTTCTCTGGAGCCCTTCCTGGATTGATCATACACTGATCACTGTTCATTCAAATAATTTTCAGCTCTAAATTGTGGTTTATAAAAATGCCTAATGTGTCTGTAGAAGTTTTCTCCAGAATACCAATGTGAAACACTGTGGGGGCTGGCAAGGGAGAATGGTAGTTGCTTTTTCTAGTTCACAGCTATATTATATATTTGCCTCATGTTTTAGCAACACTTAAATTAAAATTTTCATTTAAAAAGAAACTGATTACTCAGAAGCAGAAACTATCTGAAACAGCATGTGGGTTTTGGCCAGTTCTACTCTTACAGCATGAAGTTCATGGGATGCAGAGCTGACTAACAGAAAGCTTTTGCACATAAGAAAAAGTGACATATACCAAAGTAAATCATGCCTACCAAATACAACCAGTATTAACATTTTGAGGGGCTGCACAGAGTGACAAGTATGTGGCAGCTTTCTTGATCTAGCAAGTAAAGGCAAAATTCCAGCACATAAACTGTTTGGGTTATCAAAACTGAGGTCCATAAAGCAAGTCTTAGAAGAAAATAAATCTTTGAAATTTATCTGAAAGCTTCAGATTAACATTTATAGACAATTTTACATACTGGAGGTTTTTTAAAAAATTTGTAACAGACTGTAACAAATTGGTTAAGCTGATGAATTCCAGATATAAGTTCTCCCACCACTGATAGCTCTATTAAGTAATAAACCAGTGTTCAGTGTTAATTAAAACCAAATTTTAGCAACTACTGTGAGGAACAAAGAGCACTGTTAGGACTCTGTACATATACCCACGTTATGATACACACTGAACACAGTTCTATTCCCCAATTTTTCAAGGGTTATAATAGAATTAGCAAAATACATATAAAAGGATAATCAAAGGCATGGACTGACTTCTGCACAAATTGCATCTAAGTAAATTATGATTTCTTATGCTGAAAAAGGAGGTACTTGCATAAAAGGTAGAACAGAAGTCTAATAAATTTACAAGTGACAAGAAGGTGAACACAGGAAGACTTTTAATCACTTCCAATTCAAGAATGAGGCAGCTTCAAATGATAGTCCTTGGCAATAAGTTTAAAACAAACAAAAGGGAATAGAGGTTCTCAGACCACCTAGGAAAGCTCAGAACACACCACTGCAGCATGCTATGCTCTCAAAAGGTTCTTTTCTAGCTTAAATACTTCTGAAGTTTAAGGTCCCCTTTGTCCCAGGATAGGTCACACAGAAAGAGCTGCATCTATGTCCATCAACTACTTTTGACTATCCAGATTCTAATTTGGCTTTTTTTCTTCTTTCCCCCCTCTCTGTCAGTGATAAATATTTCTCCAAACCCAAACACACTTACTGTCATAAAGTATCTTGCTGCTATGCTACAAATAAGGTAACTGTAACAAGCAATTTAGTCTATTCACCAATCAAAAACCAAGATCCAGTGCCAGTCTTCACTTACCCAGGTCCTCAGGAGTGTCAAATAACTGCTCGCACAAGTAGTAGTCATCTGGATTCAAGTAGGGCAGTTGCTTCAGCAAGCTCTGCTTCGGAATGAGATACAAGACCTCTGCAATATTCCCATCCTCAATTACTGACATCTTTCTGACTGAATTTCGATATTTCACTTTTTCCAGCACCAGTTCATCACCTGATCCACACAGCTTCCCAAAGCTGTTTAAGATGGGGAAAGAAGGCATTTCTATTTGGAAGAAAGTAGGGAAAGCAACCTGTAGTGCTTGCAGTCAGTCCACTACCCACGGCACACTGCCCTTTCCAATCCTTCTCTTTTTCTCTTAGCCAGCAAAGGAGATTAAGGAAGATATATTTTTAGTGATTATCTTCAAGAGATCACAACAGTATGCTTGATCAGGTGGTTGCCATCCTAAACTATTGTAATCAGTTGAATCTCATCCCCGGGAATGCAAAAAATCAGAGACAAAACCATAAAGAGTATCTGAAAATCAGATTAATATTCAGGACAAGAGAAAGAACGTAACTGAGTTACATAAGAGGATTAGTTTAAAATCAAAAAACCTTGCTGTGTCAAAAATCTTATTATGGAAGAATCATCATCATCATCATAAGCTACAAAGGCACATCTGTGCATTTAATCTGCCGTGGCCCTGCTCCACGCCAGGTCTGTCTGTGTGCTACAGTGAAAAGGTTGTAGCAAAGGTAGAGCATGTCAGTCCTCCTTTTTGAGGAATGCACCAGCACTGGCTAGCACTGCTTCATGAGCAGATTTCTTTGGAGAAATCCTTTCTGCAGCTTTCACTGCCTACTGCAAACAAAAGCACTTATGCTCTCCCCTATCTACTAAGGATTGGTTCAATTCTGCTCTTCCTCTCCACCTTCCTGCAGAGCTGAGAGCAGAAGCTTTGCAGATACCGTGCCAACCCTTCCTGCTTCACTTACAAGAAGTATTTACATTAATCCAATTCCAGTGACTTGCTAATCTAATCATCTAATGAATATTTCTCCCTGGGGAAAGGCAGAGTTAATCATCAACAGGGCACTGGAAAGTCACAGGAAATTCCAAAGCAAAAGATATTAAAAAAAAAACAACCAAACCAACAACATTCATCACCTGTAAGAGAAAATTACAGGTGGACGCCAGACATGGATCTGCTCAGAAACAATTTCAGATTTTTTACTGAGTGAAATTCCCTGAGACAAATGCACAGGCTTTCAGGGAGTTGAAAGCCTGGGCCACTTAACACACAGAAGTTAACTGTAGCTGCAAAATGACCTGGTGTAATCGCCACACTGCTTCCAGTAGGGCTTTTACTAAATTAGCAGGTGAAAAAAACTACCAATAGGCTTCCTGAGCACAGTGAGAAACTGTCACTTAATTCTTCCCTCAAAACTCAGAGCTCAAGTACTAACTCCAAATGGGGACAGGCTTTGAAGAGAAGACTGCTTTATTTACTGTTTTAAAGAGAAAATATCATCTCATAAATCCAGACCTTGATCATCTATTATTACACAGCTCCTGTGAGTTGAATCACTTTTTATTTCTCAAGCAGTATGACTATTATCTTGAAAACAAGCCTGAAATCACAGTTCCCTTAAACAGCCATGTTCCTGAGTTTTCTAATCAATCACAGATACAGTAGGGCAAAGCCAGAATAAATCTGCACACTGTAATAATTTTAATGGGGTGATGCTAGTGTACGTTTGAGGAAGAGCTGGTTCAGTAAGGAACTAAGAGGATGAGAAAGGCATACGGGGAATCTGGAGAGGAGGAAAATAGGGGAGATAGGAAGCAAGCTGGACTGTTGGAAGAAAATCTGTCAATAGCAATTCCAGTTCTGCCTTAGAGTATCTTGTATCACACCAGACATCTCAGCAAATGCTGTGTTTTAATCATTTCTCCTAGGAAATGAAGCTTTGCAGCAATTTTTCAATCTCTCCTAGATTTCTCAGCCTACTGACCTGTACACTGCAGCCCCTCAAGGGAAAAGACAGCTCCGAAAATCCAAAAGCTTCTACTTCTACTTCAGCTGGAGGTGGATCACCAGTGCTTAACGCACATAGATGACTCATAGGAGATGGCTGGGTGCACGTTGGCACATGTATCTCTCAGTGTAAGAGCGTCATTTGTTGCTGGATAATCGGTGAAGGATGTTGACATCTGACAACAGCAGTGCCAGCTCTCCTCACCGACACGTCATGGTGGACTTTGCCCTTTGAGATAGGTGAGGCAAAAGCACACATTGCCCAGACATGAACTCTGCTGCAGAAGTTAATCCTCATGAAAGCAGAAAGGTGAGCTCTGCAGAAACTGTTCAAACTATGGCAACGTTTGCTCGGCTGCCTAAATGCCGGAAGAAAAGCTCGTCCTTCACTGGAGTTTGAACAAACTGGTTTAAGACTGACTCCCCAGTTTTTGCTGTATCCACGCTGATTCCAACCTTCAGCTCCACTCACCAAGGCAGTCACTACACCAGCTATTGCAGTAAGAACTAAACCAGTATGACCTGTATATCCGCTCTAGAAACAGTCAGCCTGTGACCACTGGAGAAGAGTTTGATGTTGTGCCAGTGGTGCACAATCCAGCGTCCTTCCACCACCAAGACACATGGGATTGGTGGGGAACCACAGACCAGAATGTAGTGACCCTAACATGTCACTGTGGAAGTATCCTGCTTAATTAAAAATAAGGTTCTCCTTCCTCTGAGAGAGACTTCTCTTATCCTGCCCCTTTCCAGCTCTGGCTGTTGCTGTCACTGTCTGAGAACCACCCTTCCAAAGGCCACATACCACCTGCTCCTTATAACACAAAGCAATATAATTTTTGGTATTTTTTTTTGTTTAAGTAGAGTGTTTGTGTTCAAGAGCCTTCATCCTGTCAGTATGCAATATAAGGGGACAAACAGTAGAAATGAGCAAAATAAGGGCAGGAAGCATCGCTGTGGCTTCCCAAATCAGATGAAGGACTGTTTGAAAAAGTAGGCTCTGAGGGACAGATCCCTGTGTCCAAGGCACAGGACAAGGCCTGCAAAACACTGTTAGCAAGCTCTGGGATTCAGCCTTAGTCTGAATCAAAAAGTCAGTGATCTCCTACCACTTAAATAAAGCACTCAATTAAGTGGAAAAAAATGATTTCTAATATTCTTGCCGAAGAGAAAAGGAAGAGGCAGGAAACACAAGAGCACAACCCTGTCCTAACGTTTCTTGAGGGCCAGCCTCAGGAATCCAGGGCACTCAACTCAGAACTAGTGTTGAGGAAATGTTCTCAGTATCTGCCAAGCAGCAAATCATGTTTAAATCACTGCCAATTCAAAGCTGTGTCTAATCCAAGCAGTCGGTGCTGGGATCTCGAGCCTTCACAGAGCACAGTGTGAGGTATGGGCACTTTCCAGACTGGCAGTTTTCACAGGGGGCTGGCTGGATATGAGACAGGATTAAGCAGAATAGCTACTTTAAATATTTTATCTCATGACCAACTTTATAAATATTTTATTTATAAATATTTCCAGCTGTCTCAAGACCATTTCCTATTCAATCCCCTCTGAATTCACCAAACCAATTGGCTGCCTGGATGATATAAATACATGCATGTTTCATATGCAAGCAGGAATAGAAGCTTCTGTACTAATTCTACTAGAACAGAAGTTACAAAAAAATACGACTGCAATCCCCCAAAAAATTGCAAAACAGAACAGCAAGCAGTGAATAAGAGTGAAAATCAGACAAGGGCTAAACAAATCGTAGAAGAAATATCTCTCCATGCTCCAGAGCAACACTGAGGATTAGACTTGCCCTTCAGCTAAGTAAAAGGCAGAAATGTGTAGTGCACTAATGCTGTCTTTAATTGCTTCTGCCATCGGAGTTAAACTCCTTGCAAATGCATTTGAATGAGACTTTATTCTTATATTGAAAGCAACAAAAGCCCCCAACCAAAAACTCAAGAAACTGAAGTCAGACACGCTAGCTCTGCAAAACCTATCTGCAGAAAATAATCAAAATAAAAACACAGGAAGCAAGGTAAAACAAAATGAAATTTTCCTTTTCCCTCAAATTTATTGCACAGATAGGTAGCCCCAAATAGTGTTTCTTGCATCTATCCAAGGCCATAGGATTACCACGATTATCTTACTCTCCCATGTAAGAATTCTCAAAGATATAAGGAGTAAGGAGGGGAAAAAAAGGGTTTTCATATAAATGAAAAATAAGGAAGCACTATATCTATTTATACAATGAAATATAATTATCCAGGCAATAAAATAACTAAAACAGCAAGCGACAGCAAAAAAATTCCAATATTCAAGTTCACACACACACACAAAAGAAACAAAACTTTGTTACTTGTGGTAAAATTACTCCACACATGAAGGTTTTTCACTTTCTACACACACAATTTACTTACTCAAGACTTCAGGATGACGTACAAACCCTCAGCTATTTACTGTAACCTTGAGGAAACACTTCATCCCCATAATGAAGGCCAAAAAAATCCACATGCACATCTTAATTTCTTTACCTAAATGTCCAAAACAGGCAGTCATCTTCTGGGCATACTGACACAAGCCCTTCACACCGTAGGGTTCCTCACCAAGGACCTGCTCACTCATGGTTTCAGAAGGAGCTGCCTTTCTCTGCAAAGTCAACCAACTACTGCTCGCTTGAGACTGATAAGACAACAGAGCTTCCTCTTCCAATTTATCTCCATTAATAATTCAGGTCCTAGATAAAATTTGCTGAGCTTTAAAAAACGGTAGTGCAAAGCTCTTTTGTGGCTTTTGAAGTAATCATATTTTAGTCCTTAAAAAGTATCTCAGCTATCATATTCCGATAATTTACAGAAAGTATTTTCAATTTGAAACAAAATCCATTCCCTTGCCGCGCGAGGGGAAATATTGTTAGGATTATGCTCAGATCAGTGAGACATTAAAATATTCAGCCAGCTCAAATCCAGAAACAGACTGACCAGCACTACTAAAATGTGTCAGTACATACTGTTTAGTGTTTTCAGCAATGGCTTGGACAGTGGGATCAAGTGCACACAATGAGTGAGGTGAAATACTGGCACAGGTTGCCCAGAAAGGTTGTGGATGCTCCATCCCCAGAAACATTCAAGGCCCGGTTGGGTGGGGCTCTGAGCAACCTGATCTAGTGGAAGATGTCCCTGCTCATTGCAAGAGGGTTTGAATAGATGGCTTTCAAAATTTCATTTAAAACGAAACCACTCCATGATTCCATGATGATCCTGCAATCCCACATGTCCACTGCTATAAGAGCACCACTAGTTCAGAAAACCCCAAAACAGCCCAGGTACAAGCACCATGATGTTTTCTGGTACTTTCCAGCAGTGT